CTGTGACATGCACAGCGTACATGAGCCTTAAGGACAGTGTGCTTATGAGGAGAAATAAGCCAGCCATGAAAGGACACATCTCATTTGATTCTAGTGGTAAAGAACCCACCTGCCAATGAAGGAGATGTAAGAGACGCAGGTTTTATCTCCGGATTGGGAAGATCCCCTGGAGAAGAGCATGGCAACCCACTCCAGTATTTATGCCTAATCTCATGGACAGAGGAGCCTGGCAGGCTATGGTCCATAGGGTCACAAAGAATCAGACACGACTGAAGCAACTTTAGCACGCACGCATGCACTTGAGGTACCTAGAGGAGCCAAATCAGAGAGACATAAGGTATAAAGTGGTTGCCTGACCCTGGGAGTTAGTATTCAATGAGGACGCAGTATCGGTTTGGGAAAATGAAAAAGTTCTGGAGATAGATTGTGGTGAAGGCTGCACAACAACGTGAATGCACTTAATGCCATAGAAATCATACATTTTATGGTATGTCTGTTTTCCATAGGGGGAAAAAAAGTGAATTCATAAACAACAGGCAGGAGAAGGAGGGCAATAGAGGACTCCAGGAGGATCCCTTGTTCATTCCTTGGACAGCAGTCCTGTATTTTGCTGTGCCCACTGGCATGTGGCAGGGCACAATTAATGTTCGTGAGGTGAATGAATGGATTCATAACTGTCTCTAAGAGTTGGCTGTGGTTTCTTGTAGTTTTTCTTCCCCCATGCTAGTGGAATATTGGACACATAGGAGATGATTAATATGCTATTGATTTTATACACACACACACACACACACACAGCTTCCCAGGTGGCGTTAGTGGTAAAGAACCTACATGTCAATGCAGGAGATGTGAGACTCAGGTTTGATTGCTGGGTTGGGAAGATCCCCTGGAGGCGGGCATGGCAACCCACTCCAATATTCTTGCCTGTAGAATCTCACGGACAGAGTAGCCTGGTGGGCTACAGTCCATAGGGTCACACAGAGTTGGACATGACTGAAGCAACTTAGCGTGTGTGCGCGCACACACACACACACACACACACACACACACACATATAGAAAGAGAGAGAGACACAGACAGACAAGACAGTCTGGAAAAGCCTGAACAAATCATACAGGGACTCTCTCCACAACTGTGGCTTCTTTTGACATCTCTGCTTTTACATGTTGACCTTGATGCCCTGTGACCTTAGGAAAGGAACTTAAACTCGAATGGTTTCATTATTTGTCAATGGGACACTTACAGCATCTATTGTACACTTAGTGGTCATGAGGAGTCCAATGAGAAGATGCTAGTGCAGTGCCTAACCCAAGCCCAAGTCACGATAAATGGTCCTACTTAGGAACCACTCACCCTGTCTTTACAGATGCAGCAGATTCTGTGGCTTGTGATTGGTGGTGAGTACTGGATGGGTTGCAGTGGGGTGGGGTCTCGGTCCCCTACAAATATCAGGGTGAAGGAAAGTGATGACCTGACCAAAGCTGGAAGTGTTCCTCCGGCAGAGCCAATATCCGCTCATTTATGGACAGCATTTGGCCCTGGGCATCTTATCCTCACTGCCAGTCTCATCTGGGGATAAACGTGCTGACTCTCCCTGTCCCAGGTACTGTGGTCAGCCCCAAGGCAGCAGAGAGGTGGGGAGAGACCCAGAAAGACAGCGGGCAGAACCCTGAGGATGCTCCCTCCCCAGCTTCCCTGTAGGTCAGCGCTGCTCACAAATTCCACACAGCTGCCTGGCCAGGAAGCTCTGAGTGTGCTGATGAGAGTGTGGCTCGGGGGTCCCTGGGACCCCCGTGGAGGAGCCGGCTCCACTCTGGCTGCAGTGAGCAGAGGCAGCAGGCCTCAGAGCCGTCAGGCTGGGGTCAAGTTGAATGCCAGTGGATTCTGCCCCCAGGAAGAATCATGCTGTCGGCAGCGACTCAGGCCAGAGCCTTATACAAAGCAGCTTGACTTTGCAGCTCTCGTTTTACTTGCCTTAAGCCGTGCAAGTCTGAGAGGGTATTTCTTTTGGAAAGGTCCAAGGGAAATCTGTCCTGTACACTACCCCACCAATCATGAGAAACATGGCTCTTGCCCTAAAAGTGCAGAATGTCAGAACTGGAAAGGGCTTGGAGATTTTCTTATCTACCCTTCCTCATTTTTCATCTGTAGCCATTCAGGCTACAGAAGGCATAACTGGATACTGATGATACTTGAACCACTACAAAGTCTCCTGTCTCCCAGGTTAGTGATGGCCCTGCCCAACTTTATCACCCTGACTCTCACAGCTTAGCCCATCAAGAACCTCCAGCACAGGGCTGTCAAATAAACAGTGCACATTCCACTCAGCAGTCCTATGCCTGGGGCAGAGGCAGACATCACTGATCAATCACTGTCTTCTTTTCAGCTGAAACTAGATGCAGCCTCATACACCTTCTCAGTGCAGTGCCAATCCATTAGAGCTGGCATGTGAGATAAAATCAGCTTGCCTTTCCAGATTTATTGGATCCTTCCTGGCTACCAAACACAGTTCCTCACCACCCTTTGGTTTGCCATTCTGCCATCTGGCATCACTCCCCCTAGTGCCAGCCAAATTGCAAGTCTCCTCCATCTAAACATGCCTTGTAGATCTTTCCTCCAAACCTTTGATTTAGCACATAAAACCCTTTCGGGCTTCCCTGGTGGCTCAGTGGTAAAGAATCCACCCACCAATGCAGGAGACGCAGGTTAGATCCCTGGGTTGGGAAGATCCCCTGGAGAAGGAAGTGGCAACCACTGCAATATTCTTGCCTGGGAAATCCAATGGACAGAGGAGCCTGGTGGGCAACAGTCAGTGGGTTCGCAAAGAGTGAGACATGACACAGCAACTAAACAACAGTAACAATAAAACCCTTTACTGAACAAAACAGCACATATTACAATTAATGGTGAGGTCACTAAGAATAGTTAAAACATCAAATTTGGGGGGGGAAGTACTTTTGAAAAGAACTGCAGTGGATAGAAAGTTCTTATAATTCCACCTTCCTCCCTAGTTTGGCTTGTGCTTTCATGAAGGAGAGTGAAGGTAGAGTTACAGAGAGCCTAGGACACTGCACAGAACTGCTGCCAATCCATCCCACACCACGGCTGGCAGAGATCTTCACACGGCTAATTTTATATTCTTACTCACATACCTTTATATGTTTTTATGAATAAAAGCCAAAACTTTAAAAGTCTTAGGGCTTTCCTATAAAATGTTTCTTGGGTTTTGGGAAAACTTGGGCAAGTCCACTGGAGTGTGCCTTGAGTGTGAACATAATCTGCCATGGGTATTACAGCAGCAAAAGGTTGTGGCCAGTTGCCTATAGAAAGCATATAAGGGCAAATCAAAATGGGGCGTGGTCCCGGTTTTTCCCCCATATTCGATAGAAGAACAAAATGTTCTTTAATATTCTGTGTGGGTGAAATTCTGGGCAAACAACTGGCAGAGACTTGGTACTCACCAGGTACCCACATGCTCTTCACCTTCCCTAGCCCCTCTTGCATTTAGGTTGGGCCAGTGACCAGGTTTTGACCTGTGGGGATGCAGATAGGTTAAAGTGATGTCAGTCCCTTGAAGTCCTGGTCCTTAAAATGACTCCAGACACCCCCCGGGTCCTGTCTTCTCTTGCTATGGCAAGACTGGAGGCCACATGTTCCAACTAGCTTACTGTAAGGTGGAAGCAGCCCAGATCCTGAGTTGCTGCTTGCCTGCATCAGATGTGATGCAAGTACAAAATTAGCCTTTTTGTACTGCCGAGCCACCATGACAGGATTTCTGAGATGACTGGAAGAGAAAAAACTCTCAGTACCTAGGCCCAGGATCCCTTTCCTGCTTTCTCCCACTGACTGACCTTCCTAAGGAGACTTCGAACCTTTCTGCACCTGGAGAAGGGACAGGTGGAGAGGAGAATTTCTTTTGCTCCCCGGTTTTCCCCCCAGTCCTACTGTCTTTGATGCAGAGGACACAGAATTTGGATCCTCCAGGGTAGTCCTCAGTCCCACAGTTTCCTCCAAGCCCCTTGGTGTTAACAGCAAGAAGGGATTTTATTTCTAGCAAAAACAACAACAACAAAAAACCCAGAAACCCAGCCTCTTCTCTTTTTCACCAGGGAGTTCTGCCTGCCCTCCCAGCACCAGCTCTGTAGGGAGGAAGGGGCAGGAGAGAGGGCAGCTCCGGGGTCTTAGCCCACACTGACTACTGCTATTGTCTGGGCTGCTCTGTGGCTGCCAAGGAGCCCATCTGTGTCCAGCCCCTCCTGGAAAGGAGGGTGAGGGTGGGGAGAGAGGTCCAGGCTATTGATAGCCAACTGCTCCGAGGACTAAACACAGGCCCCATACTTGCAATCAGACTTGGGTTGAGTGCCAGCTCTCCCATTTGATGATGATTTATTCGCTACGTCGTATCCAACTCTTGCAACCCCATGGACTGCAGCCTGCCAGGCTCCTCTGTCCATGGGATTCTCCAGGCAAGAATACTGCAGTGGGTTGCCATTTCCTCCTCCATTTATTTAAGCTCTCCCATTTATTCTCTGGTAATTTTAGGCAAGGTATTTAATCACTCTGAGCCTGGGCCATCCCCACAGGGTTGTCATGAACATCAGCTAAGCTGGTGTGAGGCTCTGAAAATAGAGAGGATGGCACACAGGCTGGTTGTTACTATAGGCTTGCACCAGTGTGATCCTGAGCCTGTCTGTGCTGACTGCACCGCTGGTTCACCCTCTGTACATCTCTCCCCCAGCTGGGCTGTAGGTGCTGCAGGGGATGGACACTGGCTGATTCACTTCGCCTTTCCCTACAGAACCAGCCCAGAAAACCCTGGCCAGCTCTGGCTTTGCGGCTGCTGTTACTACTGGCCAAGCCCCTCCTTTGCAGCATGATTTGGAGGGACGCTTACCTAATGCATCAGGCCCCAGGCCTAGACACACCTGGACAGTACAGTTGCCAGTTTCAGGCTTCTCAGCTGGGAGGGCAAGTCAGTTGCAATTCCTGGGCCAAGTCGATCAACTGGAAGTCACTGCCTGGAGCGCCGTGTTTGAAAAGGTCGATCTCTGCAGGAAGAGAGTGTGGTGACTGCTTGGTGATATCTGCCGTGTCTAGAGGGGTAGCATGCTGCTATGCATTTGCTGAATCTGCTTGAGCACTGCATTTTGGCCCTGACAGCATGTGAAAGTTATCTGGAGTTTCAGAAATTACTGAGGCCTGGGTGCCACCTCTAGAGATTACAATTGAGTTGGTCTGGGTATGGCTTGGGCATCAGTTGTTTAAAGCTCCCTAGGTGGTAGAAGATTGAGAGCCATGCCTTAGAGCACCCAGCTTCCTCTTAGAGAGCACCATCTCAGGGCATCTCAGCGGAGCCACTGCCTGTGTGCACACTAGCTCATCTGCAAGGCCAGACTGGCAGGGGAGTTGCTGCCCGGGGCTCGACACTGGGTGAGCATGCCAGTATTCTTGTTTTACTAAGGATACAGGGCTTGGGAAGCTTCTAGGTTAGTGTTTGAGTGTTCTGTTTAAAACCAGCCACCCAATACCACGGAATACTGCTCAGCTGTAAAATGGCACAACAACTTAAATGAATTTGGGGAGTAAGTATTGAGTGAAAAAAGCCAGTTTTAAGAGGTGACATATTGCATGATTTCATTTATATAACATTCTTGAAACAACAACATTATAAGAGAGAAGATCAGATTGCTATTGTTAGGAGTTAAAGAAGGGGTGCGGTGGAAAGGAAGTGGGCATAACTATAATACAGCAACATGAGGGGTCCTTGTGGTGATGGAAATGTTCTGAACTTTGGCTGTATCAATATCCTGGTTGTGATATTGCAGTAGTTTTTCACCATTGGGGGAAACCAGGTAATGGGTTCAAGGGATCTCTATATTATTTCTTAAAACTGCATGTGTGTCTGTAATTATCTTGAAACAAAAGTGTAATTAAATAGAAAAAAGAAAACTAGGCTCCATGACAGTAAGCAGGTTTTGAAGAGATATTTATAAAATGCAGCAAGAGGTGAGAGATAAGAATGAGCAGAAATGCATTTCCTGGGGCAGCAGCAGCATAAGAGTTGAGTCCAATCTGAAACTCCAAGTTTGGCTTTTTTGAATACCAGGAACTGGCTACTCTCCTGGGGTCTGTTCATGTGCAGGGACAACCTTAGGGGCTCTTCGAGGCAGTAAAACAACGAGGAAGCCCATCCTCAAAGTAGGGAACAAAGAAAGAGGGAGACAGGACTCTGGAAGGGATGACAGGACATCTGAGCCCCCATCAGGTGGAAGAGCTGGTGTGGATGAGGTGCTCAAACGGGGCTGCTCAGAGGTCCCAGGGAGGCCTGAGTAGGAGGGTCAGGCACCGTCCTGAAGTGAGAAGGTCTGGGCAGTACGTGAACTGTGCAACACTGTCACTCAAGGGTTGGTGATACCTGGCGACTCCTGGGTTATCTCTGAACTGCTCACGGGGACCTGCCATGGGGCAGGGCAAGCTTCAGGAAGCGTTGTGGCAATTCTGCAGTTCACAAGCAAGAAGGAGGAGGAGAAGGGTTTGAGTAACTAAGGTGGAACGTTTGAAAAGTGAATACATTTGGGAAAGTCCCTAGGGAGCCTCTGGCTGATAAATGCTGATAGTCAACCAGTAAATTCATTTCCTGAGTACTTGCTTTGGGCCAAGAGTGGCAAGAGGCACTGGGAATAGAGGGGAGGGAGACAGTCTCTGAATCATAACAGAAGTTAATACTGCTAATGAACCAGCTCCCGTCCCAAGCACTTCACACACATGTATAAATTTAGTCCTCAGAACCATCCTGTGAAGGAGGTACCCCAGTGCCTTCATAGGTAACAGTCACAGACCGCCCCCCCCCCCCCCCGCCCCGCTTAAAGCACTCAGCTTGCACTCAGTTGTAAGGTAAAGCTGGGATTTGAACCCAGGAAGTCTGTCTCCATAGTCCATGGACTCAACCACTGTGCTTTAGCACTGAGCGGGCAGATTTAGCCAAAAGGCAGGAGGTGTATGGCAGTGGGCAGACCAGAGTCCTGGCCAGGAACTGGTCTTCCAGGATCTGTACCAGCTTGTGCAACTCTGAACAACTCCTGGACCTCTTTATGTCTCACACTCCTTCTCTGAGACGCGCATGGCCCTAAACACAAGGCTGCTGGAGGGTCTTGGGAGAAATGTGCTTTGGAGGCACTAGGCCACTGCTGGCCTCCCATGAAATGCGAGCTTAGTGGCCACCCCAGACAAGCAACCGTCACTGGCTGCAGGTGACAATGAGCAGAATGCTGCTTCTGGCCTCAGCCCTGTAGTTCTGCACCACAGCTGGGCTGCTACAGGAGGGCCAGATTCTGGAGACTGAGTGGGCTTGAAAGTCTGAGGCAGCATCATGCAATGCAGAAGGAAGAAGAGGATGGCACCTTGTGGGCACCATTCCTTCAGAATCAAGTTCAAGCTTTTCACACCGTTCCACCTGGAGATAACCTGGCCCACACTAGCTTTCCAGTTGGTCTCCACACCTGCCTCCCTGCAGCCTCCACCCTGGTCAAATGTACCCACGACTAGCAAAGGACACAAAGACAGAACGTGGCAGAACTGAGATCTGAATCCATGTCTGGTTGGCTGCAAAGTAGGGGCAGTGTGGTGAGGTGGAAAGAGCATGGATTAAGGGGTCAGATGCACCTGAGTTCTTCCAGCTCTGCCTGTGTGACCCTAAGTGAGTGCCTCACATTTCTGTGCCTTGTCTATAAAATATGGTTAGTAATATTCCTGTATTAACACCTTATCACAAACTTCGTAGTTTAAAACAACACATATTTATTATCTTGCAGTTCTGAATGTCAAGTCTAAGATCAGTTTCACTGGCCTAAAATCAATAGGCCTGTGTTTCTTCTGGAGTCTTGGGGAGACCTTCTTCCTTGCCTTTTCCCACTTCTCGTGGCTGCCTGTTTTCCATGGCTTGTGGGCCCCTTCTTCTATCTTCAAAGCCAGCAGTGACTGGTTGAGCTTTTCTTAATGCATTACTCAGGCCTCCTCTTCTATAGTCAAATCTCCCTCTTATAAAAACCCTGCTGATTCTACTGGGCCCACTTGGATAATCCAGGATAATCTTCTTATCTCAAAATCCTTAATCACACTGTAAAGTTCCTTTTACTATGTGGAATAACATGTCCACAGATGTGGGGATTCATATGTGGTGATCTTGAGTGGGGGGCACATTATTCAGCTTCCCACAAGCACGTGCTACGTGAAACGGGACGCTCCAAGGTAAATGCTCAGCACGGTGATTAGCCAAGAGGACTGGTGATGTTTAATGTCAGCTGGGCACGAGAAGCACTTAGCTTTTGCAAAATAGTGCCGGGGTTCACTCCTGAAAATCTGGGGTTGGGGCAAGTGTCTATGCATTGGAATTTTTATAAGCTCCCTAGTGACTCTGTTGGGCAGCCAGAGTGGGGCTGATTATAGTAAGCACTGAATTCATGTCAGCAGTTATTCTTATTCCCACAGCTACTTAGCTCCGAGCCTCAGTGCCCAGGAGCTGTTCAATAGACGTTTGTTGAATTAGACTAAAGTGAATCACTCCTGGGGCCCCAAGCTATCCCTGGGATGGCATGGGAGGGGTGAGAGGGTTTCTCACTGCTGCATCACAGGGCCTGAAGAATGAGGTTCTGTGGACAGACAGAGGCCTCGGCCTCTGCATCAACCTCACACCCAGAAGTAGCTGCCTGGGGGGCTGGAGTCTCTCCTCCTCTCCGAAGTCCAGTCAAGGGGCCCAACCAGGCAGAATCCAGTCATCAACGGGCCATTGTTAATGGAACAGAGGGGGCTCTGTGCCCATTTAACACTTCTCTCCCTCACGAAGCTGCTCCCAGCTGAGGGCTGGCTTCTGGAGGACTGTGGGGCTGGGGAGGGGCCCCAGGGCTACAAGGGGAATGGGGGAGGATTCCGGGTGGGGACTGAGCCCCCTGGTTGGAGGAGCAGAGGCAGCTTGGAACGCAGGCCAGCCTCGTAAGTCAGCAGGCTGGAAAGTCTGGGCGCTGATGCGGCCACTCAGGCCAGGAAGAGTTTCCCATTAAAGCTGGGGATGCAGGGACAATGAAACCCACCAGACCCCAATGAGAGCCGGGGGACAGCTTTCTCTGTGGGGTGGTCACACTTGACCTACCTCCTTCCCTTTCCAAAAACAGAAAAGTGAAATCCACATGGTAAATGGTGCCTTTCATTGCCTATAGAACAGTGTTTTCAAAAGGGCTGGGAGGGTTTTATGTTCTGTGGGCTTGGGATTAAGAGGCAGGCAATTCAACCAGGGTTGGGTATAAACGTCCTTTTGCTTAGCAGACCTTTTCTATATTCAGGAGGGTGGATTTCAGGAGGATGGTGTTTAAGATCCCCAAGATAGTGCCTGATCAGTATCCTCAAAAATGCCAGAGACCTACAGTTCTTGGGCTAGGCACCAGCAATTCTCATCTGCTGAATATAGCAAATTCTCTGATAGTTTCTGCCTAGGGAGTACATTGCTTTAAAACACATTCTAGGAGGGTGGGATCTCAAAGAGGGGAGCCTGGATCAGCAGCAGCACCTGAGAACTTGACAGAAATGCACATTCTTGCCGCCCCCATTCCCAGCCCAAACCATCTCAATCAGAATCTCTCAGGGGTGGGCAGAGCACTCTTTTTAAACAAGCTCTGCAGGTGATTCTGATGCACGCTTAAATTTGAAAATCATAGTTATAGAGCCATACATTTCAAACTTCAGGTTGTGGAGTCAGTTTGGTAGATTGGACAAGGTTTTTTTTTTTTTAAAGAACAGAACCATAGAGACAGAAAATATCAGAGTGTATTAAGGATCTGTAATAAGGATATGCATGGGTTTCATAAGACTTTTGTTTCAGTGATGTGTATGTGTCTCTGTCTGAGGTTTTGGTCCAAAAAGATTGAAAGCTATTGTTCTTGAGCCAGAATGTACTACAGATAGTCTCGGACTAAAGATGGTTGACTTTTAAGATGGTGTGAAAGTGATACACATTCAGTAGAAACCATAATTGAATTGGGGCTAGGCTGTACAGTCA